TTTATTTTTTGGACGTAAAGGTTGCTCATTATTTGGCCCCCAAAACTTATCCAATCCATCATTAGAAAAGAATATAGATTCATCATGAGTTACCAATATATGAATCTTTTCATCAGAATTTAAGGATGGCCAAGTCACTTGTTCCATATTTTCACCATCAAAGATAGGCATGTACCTTTCATAAATTTTCATTTGATCTAAAAATTTTTCACAATAATCAACTACATCATCTCTTTCATGTCCATCAACATAAATGTCTTTTCTATATTTATTATAAGACCATCCCATTTGCTAAGCCATATATGTGCAGTCCTGTCACTAATTTTTTTTTCCTTCTCATATCCTAATGATGGAAGTATCACATCTGAAACATGATTAATAAAGTCATGAAGTCTAAAATTAACCTTTTTAGAATGTAAATATTGACTTATCTTAATTTGAATATCTTCATCATTTAATGCAGATTTGATCTTCTGATGTTTCCCACGTTTTGAGGAAACCAACATTCCTTTTTTTTGTATTGGGATGTCCAGGATCTTATTAATCTAGACATCCATGGGCCACGGTTTAAACTCTCTGCAAGCATCTTACTTACTTCCATTTTTGAACCACCATTCTGTACCAATCTCGAATATTGGGCAACATATCTTAATCTATTTTATTTTTTTTAATTTCTTCCTCAAGCTGCTCTAAAGTAAAATTAGATGAATCCTCTTCACTAAATTCATCAAAATCCTCTTGAATGAAGTTAGATGGGACTTCACTTGATTCATCTTCTAAATTCAAATTATCTTGTTTGACATTAGATGTGCTTGATTGTTCTGCATTTTGAACCTGTATGTTTAAATTTTTATTTTTAAAGTTTTGAATTTATTTATCTTTATGTAATGAATGATTTGTTATTTACCTGGAAAAAAGATTTAATGCTAGCTGTACCTTCAGCTACTTTTTTTAAAATGCTCTTATTTCTATAAAATGTTCTTGATGAAGAACCAGTATAAATTTGAGGTCTTCCTTCTGTTTTCCAAACATCTTTATCTTTACTTGCACTAATTAATTTATTAAATGCATCATCATCTAATCCTTCAAACATGCTTTCATTAAACCATTCATCACCAGAATCATCAGTCTCATAAATGAAATCATCATAATCAATTTCTTCTTCACTTGATGCAATTTTTTTATTCAATTCATTATCTGACTTTATTTTTTTAATATTTATAGCATCACTTAAATGTGCAGCTTGTTTATTTTTTCTTGGCATTTTTTTAATTTGTTAGTAATGTATTGTTTGTTGGTTACTTATGAAAATATATATATATATTAATATGACGTTGGTTTTCTGAACCAAATTTATAATTTGCTCTGGTCACAGTCTCGGTATCTTTTCCCAAATAGGAAGGATCATCTTGTGCCAAATTTCATTTTCGATAGTAAAATCGTCCAACTTCAAACCACTAAGGCTTTTTTTTTATTAGTAAAATTGAAAAAAGCTCTCTATTTCATTGTTGCTTAGGTTCTAAAGATTGCAAAAATAGAAATTTTTTTTCAATTTTATTAATAAAAAAAAAAGCCTTTGGTTTGAAGTTGGACGATTTTTTTGATGTCTTTAGATGACCTACACTGTATATATATATAGGATTACCCTTTCTAGTTTATTTTTTATGTATGTCACAGATTTTTTTTTATTACAATTGTTTTTTTTTAAAGTTAAAATTATAAATTGGCAGCAGACAGAATATTCGATTGAAGTTGAAAGTGTTGTTGGTAACAATAATAAGAGGACTGGAAAGATTAGAGGAAGAATGAAGCAAGTATTTGTAATGGGAGGGTTATTATCGTTTTCAAACATAAGGAGCGTCGTATTTGAAACTGAGTAACCAATATTGAAGGCTTTAGGAGTAACCAGTTAGTTTCTTAATAAATAAATAAAATCTAT